GAACTGGCATATTGTGTCCGTGGGTAGAAATACAGAACTAGGGTATGGTGATTGTGGGTAGAGATACAGGACTGACATATTGAGACCGTGGGTAGAGATACAGAACTGACATATTGTGACTGTGAATACGTATATATAGAAAGAGAAACATCATCGAAATGTTAGTACAGTGATTAATCACCCTACCCTAGTTCTGTATTTCTACCCACGGACACAATATGCCAGTTCTGTATCTCTACCCACGGTCTCAATATGTCAGTCCTGTATCTCTACCCACAATCACCATACCCTAGTTCTGTATTTCTACCCACGGGCACAATATACCAGTTCATTATCTCTATCCACGGTCTCAATATGTCAGTCCTGTATCTCTACCCACGGTCTCAATATGTCAGTCCTGTATTTCTAACCACAATCACCATACCCTAGTTCTGTATTTCTACTGACGGTTACAATATGCCAGTTCATTATCTCTATCGACGGTCACAATATGTCAGTCCTGTATCTCTTCCCGCAATCACCCTATTCTAGTTCTGTATTTCTACCCACGGTCACAATATGATAGTAATGTGTCTCTACCCACGTCACAATATGCCATCTCTGTATCTTTATGGACAGTCACAATACGCAAGTTCTGTGTCTCTATTCATTGTACCAAAATGTCAATTCTGTATCCACAGACACAATATGACAGTTCTCTGTCTTTACGGTCACAATATGCCAGTTCATTATCTCTATCCACAATCACCTACCCTAGTTCTGTATTTCTACTGACGGTCACAATATGCCAGTTCATTATCTCTATCCACAATCACCCTACCCTAGTTCTGTATTTCTACTGACGGTCACAATATGCCAGTTCATTATCTCTATCCACAATCACCATACCCTAGTTCTGTATTTCTACTGACGGTCACAATATGCCAGTTCATTATCTCTATCCACAATCACCCTACCCTAGTTCTGTATTTCTACTGACGGACACAATATGCCAGTTCATTATCTCTATCCACAATCACCCTACCCTAGTTCTGTATTTCTACTGACGGACACAATATGCCAGTTCATTATCTCTACCCACGGTCTCAATATGTCAGTCCTGTATCTCTACCCACGGTCACAATATGTCAGTCCTGTATCTCTACCCACGGATAGAGATAATGAACTGGCATATTGTGACCGTGGGTAGAAATACAGAACTAGGGTATGGTGATTGTGGATAGAGATACAGGACTGACATATTGAGACCGTGGTAGAGATACAGGACTGACATGTTGTTACTGAACAATGCAAGTTATACAACTCTACTTACCGAACAACACCGAACATACAGCGCCAGAAAATAGCTATTAACGACCCAGAGTTTGTTGACATTTCAAACAAGCCAAGTATTGTTTATGCTTTAAAACACTACTATAAAGATGCAACTCCTTTGGGTTACACGACAAGAGTGAAAATCAAATTAAGATAAACAACGGTAAGAGTGAAAATCAAATTAAGATAAACAACGGTAAGAGTGAAAATCAAAGTAAGATGAACAACGGTAAGAGTGAAAGTCAAAGTAAGATAAACAACGGTAAGAGTGAAAATCAAAGTAAGATAAACAACGGTAAGAGTGAAAATCAAAGTAAGATAAACAACGGTAAGAGTGAAAATCAAAGTAAGATAAACAACGGCAAGAGTGAAAATCAAAGTAAGATAAACAAACTCTTATATGACCCGTGTAGTACTTACACAGTAATCAATTGGTAGTTATTCTTTTCGTATTAGCACCGAAGTAACACTTCAAACAATAGGCATAGACACTCATCATGAAGTGCTCTTCATTACATAAATACAGTTAATATGTTTCAAAATTCAAAAAAGTATTATTGAAGATAGAAAAACAGTTTGTTCTCTTTTTAATATTTCTTTTCTAAGAGATAAATTTATTATGACAATGACTGTAATTTGAAATTCGATAAGGTTAAAACACGCGTTTTTAAATCAAAATCACTAAATTAATGTCATTTGTATAGAAATCTCGTATTTTTAATACCTATGGATATCATCAACATGATTTTTTTACTGATTTGTGAATATTGTACAAACTCATGCATGGAAATGTATTCAAACATCTAAACACAACATGAAAGTTTACTTTTAAAATTACCAATTTTTTTCGGACTAGACTTACTTGTTGATATCAGAAATATAAATTAATAACAATACATGAATGTAATGGTAAGACGTCGTTCTAATTTGAACTGCTTTTTATGTAATTTTTATTACTCGTTATAGAAACAAAAAGATGTAATTAGAATTAATCTAATCGTTAAAAAATTTTCAACACTGCGGTACCACGAATTTGTTCATGTTGGTGTTGTGGCATTGATAGACGCATGCGTGTTATACTTGTTCGTTATTACTGATGGGTTTCTTAAGTAAAAAAAAAAAAAAACGATCTTAAAAAATGTCATCCACTGCAAAAGAGGAGGGTGGGGTGGAATTCACCCACCTCCTTAGAAGCTTCTTAACCATATGTCATGTAAAAAAGTCCACTACAACAGTAAAATTTGGTAATATATATTTTTTATTAAATCTCGTGGCATTTCTTTACGCAGACGAAACATTTCCCAAATCTTTCGTTGCTTTACCTACAGTAATACTTGTCAAGTTTCGTTAGGTCCAACTTGGTAAACCGATCCTCTTCAAGACCACGACCTAACTCATAAATGTCGACACCTGTCTGTTTTGGCATCATTGATGGCTCTTTACCTTTAGCAAATGCCCATCCATCATAATGCATAACTGACCTATAATCATAAGCTTCAGATAGGGTATCGAATTCAAAAGAAGATGCTACTTGAAATTGGTCCCAATTGTCTATAAAGAACAGATCAGAATTAGTTTTCTTTATCAAATACGTAACTTTATATTGGTGAAATTATGCCTAAAACTTAAGTTCCTTCTAATTGTTCTAGTCAACAATGTAACAACAACAATCCTATTTAACCTCTTTATTCACTATCTTAATAGTATTTAAATATTTACCAAACTACTTATTTATCTCTACTTAGAAATACTTAGAAATGTTCTATGTGTGACTATGTTTTACCTGAAAGTTAAGGAACAGTTCTGCGTGTGATAGTGAGACCTGAAATATGTTTTTGCTTGTCTCGGATATTCGCATTAAGATACAATAGAACAATTTTCATGTGATAAATTATAGGGAAGGTAGGTAATTAATAGCACCCACCACCACCTCTAATCGAATAGTAGGATTTAACCGGCACTCATAACGCATTCACCGCCCAAATGTTCAGAGCATGATTTTGGGGCAACAGGACAATAATCATCTGATAGTTAACAAGCTATTCTGAGTCTGATAGTATGAACTAAAAGTTAAGTAAGGGTTCTGGTTGTGATAGAATGAACTGAAAGTTAAGTAAATGTTCTGGTTCTGATAGTGTAACTTGAAATTAAGTTCGTGTTCTACATGTGAAAATGTGACCTGAAAGCTAGGTTCGTGTTCTGGATATAATAGTGTGAACTAAAAGTCCACCAGCTGTTTTTGATGTCATATTGTGACCCAAAGTTAAGTGCTGTGAGTGAGATAATGTGACCTGATCCTTTTTGTTGTTGTTGTTGTTGTCTTTTACTGATATTCCCTCAAAGCTACATAAGGATAATATGCATTAGCCGTCCCTGATATTGGCTGAAAGTTTAGAGAGAAGCTTTCTAATTAATAAAACCAGCATCCACCATCAACTCTGGGCTACTGTAACCAGAAGTGCGATTTTACGGGAACAGGTCGCGAACAATGAACTCTCGGATTCACAGTCCTGCACTTTAACTACTTGGCCATGCTCGATACACCTGAAAGTTAAGTAAATGTTTTGGTGTGATTATGTGACCTGAATGTTAAATTACTGTTCTATGCATGATGGTATCACCTGTAAAGGGTTCTTTAGCTCTAATGAAGAAGTAAGACATTTTTTGATGCACCTTTTGAAAGTGGTCATCATTGTTTCATAGTAATATCCATCACCAGACAGCTCTAGGTAGAGAAGTCAATGTAAATTACACTATATGTGAATGTAACAATACATTATATGTTGTTGTGATGTTAATGTAGCAGCAAATACGATAAAAAGCCTGTGTTTAGGTAGCAATACATTATATGTTGTTGTAATGTTAATGTAGCAGCAAATAAGATAAAAAGCCTGTGTTTAGGTAGCAATACATTATATATTGTTGTGAGGTTAATGTAGCAGCAAATACGATAAAAAGCCTATGTTTAGGTAGCAATAAATTATATGTTCTTGTGATGTTAGTGTAGCAGCAAATAAGGTAAAAACCCTATGTCTAGCACCGAAATGTATATGGAGAAGTATTATCAGTTACTGGTGTCCCATAATTGAGAAACTACTGATTACATAAATAACACGAAATACATAATATAGACCTATACAGTAAGAAGTTACCCAATCGTTTTATGCACGATGCGAAGTAACTAGAGATTTGATAAAAGTAGATGGATATTATTTCAACCAAACGACTGCCTTTGAAATGCCAAATTTTTCCTTTTGAGGCTCTACAAAACGGGCAATTAGAATATCTTCGAACATTGGTCACAACTCGATGTCTAACCATTAACTTTGGTCATTCGGCAGTGTTATTATTAGCGCATGCTCCATTTGTCAGAATGGTGCTACCTGTGCAAATTTCCCAGTCTGTTACCATATTACTGGTCCCAGTTTCATTAATGCCATTTCATTGACAAAGACTTCTCCATCCCGTCGTACGCTGTTCATGAAATTTTCACCTTGCCGTACAGTGCTATGCTATCCTGATGCTTGATCAAAGATGTATGCTGCTACCTCTTCTGCTTAGCAAACATCTGTGTCATGTAACCCTTTATCTCAGAAACCGGTGTAGGTCTGCCTACAATTACGTAACATCTGCTCAGCTGAAAGTTTAGCTCAGAAACCGGTGTCGGTCTGCCTACAATTACGTGAACATCTGCTCAGCTGAAAGTTTATCTCAGAAACCGGTGTCGGTCTGCTTACAATTACGTGAACATCTGCTCAGTTGAAAGCTCATCTCAGAAACCGATGTCGGTCTGCCTACAATTACGTGAACATGTGCTCAGCTGAAAGTTTATCTCAGAAACCGGTGTCGGTCTGCCTACAATTACGTGAACATCTGCTCAGCTGAGAGTCTAGCTCAGAAACCGGTGTAGATCTGCCTACAATTACGTGAACATCTGCTCAGTTGAAAATTTATCTCAGAAACCGGTGTCGGTCTGCCTACAATTACGTTAACATCTGCTCGGTTGAAAGTTTATCTCAGAAACCGGTGTAGGTCTGCCTACAATTACGTGAACATCTGCTCAGTTGAAAGTTTTAAAGACTTATCAGTCTTACTACAATAAAAAGAAACAACTTTGATTTCCTCTTCATAAGAACCAATATTTTTAGCACAGTACTGAACATCACGTTTTGGACACCTAATCCATCCAAGTGCAAACTCGCCTTTATTTTCAACGTTCAGAATGCTAATTGTGCTAAACCTAATCAATCTTTTCATTTAATGTTACACTTATAGAGCTGATGGTATACATTTACACATCAACGGCTCTGGGATTTCCATATTGCTTGAATTGTTTAACATATACCTTGTAAACAGCCTCGGATACACTTTTGGTCAAAATATGATTGTATAGATGAAATAGAACGATTACCAAAATCGTATCTTCATTTTTTGTGCCTGTACAAGCAACGTTAAGAGCGCCATAACTTGAAAAAGCTTAGTTACACTCAGGAAATATAATAGATTTTTATTTATTTATATACATGACTACTCACCTACCTGTTTAGATATCTATCTCCATACCTATATATCTACCTACATGCTTACCCACTTATCTATTTATTTACCTATCTCTCGACATATGTATCCACCAACATGCATACCCACTTATCTAATTTTTTATCTATTCCATGTATGATTACGTCTTGTCTATCTACCTGTCTATTTATTTACCTATTTCTCGACATATGTATCCACCAACATGCATATAGATAGACAAGACGTAATCATGCATGGAATAGATAAAAAATTAGATAAGTGGGTCCTGTCTATTTATTTACCTATCTCTCGACATATGTATCCACCAACATGCATACCCACTTATCTATTTTTTATAGACAAGACGTAATCATACATGGAATAGATCTTGTCTATTTATTTACCTATAAGTATATATTTATCTCCCTCCTTACCTGTAAATCTACCTGAGTGACTGCTTGTTTACATACTTACCTACCTACTTAACAAGGCAACCACTTATTTGTATGCTTATCTCACTTTCTACAATCCTACCTACACGTCTACCTATTTGTATGTGTTCTAATCTACTCTCTTAGATATGTAAGTATATTTACATATCTGTCTACTTACCCACCTACCAACTTATACCTGTACCTAATTATCTGTCTATACTTATCTATCAGCACATGTGCCTAACTACCTTCCATTTTTAACTTAAATACCTGTACCTATCTTTTTCTCTAACTACACATATGTTTTAAACAAAATAATGTTTAATTTTCGTTATGGTATTAAACTATCTCTCACTAAGAATTAATTATGCATTGTTATTTCCAAAAATATGTTACGAGAAAGTTCTAATGTTTTAAGTTCTAATGTTCTATTCTGACTTATGTGCAACTATCTAAATCCATATATATATATATATAACGTACTTCTGTCAATATTTGCCCACAAAATATTCAGAAACTGCTCTCTATCAGGTCGACTATGTTCATGCTCGAAGCCAAGAGCATGCATTAGTTCGTGCATGACAATTCCCTTATATATGCAGCCTCTGCTGGCAAGAGAAACGTCTTGTCTTCCACCGATGCGTCCCATGTATGACCAACATCTACAAAAAATACACGAAATAATTATTTTTTCTCTTGGCTCAGTACAGTGAATTTGAACGAAAAAAATGTATGTCCGTAAAACACATATTCTTAAAATAAAAAGAGGCCCGGCATGGCCAGATGGTTAGGGCGTTCGATTCGCAATCTGAGAGTCGCGGGTTCGAATCCTCGTCACACCAAACATGCTCGCCCTTTCAGCCGTGGGGGCGTTATAACGTGACGGTCAATCCCACTATTCGTTGGTAAAAGAGTAGCCCAAGAGTTGGCGGTGGGTGGTGATGACTAGCTGCCTCCCCTCTAGTCTTACACTGCTAAATTA